TATTCTATTCTATTCTATTCTATTCTATTCTATTCTATTCTATTCTACCCTATGACTATCGTTAAGTGTTGTACCTGATGATTCTTGACTCTTGACGAATGTCTCTTTTCTTTTATGTACACTGAGAGCATTTGCACCAAGACAAATTCCTTATGTGTCCAATCACACTTGGCCAATAAAGAATTCTGTTCTGTTCATTCATCTATTCATTACCTGGACAAATTATTCTTGTGTTCAGGACTGGAAGATTTTCCTTGGTGGCGACACCAGCCGAGACTGAAAAAAAATCAACAGGTGAAGTATTTCAGGCGATTTCTCTCTCCTTCTGGACATTTGGGGCAGTTTTAACTGGTCACAGAGTGAAAATATATGTAAGTAGTCCTCCACTTATGAAAGTTCATTTAGTGACTGTTCAAAAGTTACAACGGCACTGAAGAAAAGTGACTTGTGACCATTTTTTTTCATACTGACGACCATCGTGGCATCTCCATAGGCACGTAATCAAAATTCAGATGCTTGGCAACTGACTCATATTATGACAATTGCAGCATCCCTGGCACCGCATGATCCACTTTTGTGACCTTCTGAGGAGAAAAGTTAGTGGGAAAGCCAGGTTCACTTAACGACCGTGTTATTAGTCTAACAACTGCAGTGATTCACTTAACAACAAGGGTGACGAGCACAGTCATGAAATGGGGCAAAGTTCCCTTTACAACTGCCTCGCTTGGCCCCCGTAAATTTGGGTCTCAGTTTTGGTTATAAGTCAAGGAGTACCTGTACTTTGGTTATATACTTGTGAAAATGACATAAATGAACCGTAGCAACCAGTAGGATAATGTTTTGCTTGCTGGAAATGCTTTATAGTTCATTTTAGGAATTTGTAGGGGCTTTTTCCTTCATAGAAATAAAACAGATTTTAGAACGGAATGGAATGGAACAGAACGGAATAGAATAGAAAATATAGAATAGAATAGAACAGGAATAGAATAGGAATAGAATAGAATAGAATAGAATAGAATAGAATAGAATAGAATAGAATAGAATAAAAAATAGAATAGGATAGAAATATAGAGTGGAATGGAAGGGAAGGGAAGGGAAGGGAAGGGAAGGGAAGGGAAGGGAAGAGAAGAGAAGAGAAGAGAAGATAGAGGAATGGAATGGAATGGAATGGAATGGAATGGAATAGAATAGAATAGAATAGAATATGGAATGTAGAATAGAATAGAATAGAATAGAATAGAATAGAATAGAATAGAATAGAATAGAATATGAAATGTAGAATAGAATAGAATAGAATAGAATAGAATAGAATAGAATAGAATAGAATAGAATATGGAATGTAGAACAGAACAGAACAGAACAGAGTAGAATAGAATATGGAATGTCGAGTCGAATAGAATAGAATAAAATAGAATAGAATAGAGTAGAGTAGAGTAGAGTAGAGTAGAGTAGAGTAGAGTAGAGTAGAGTAGAGTAGAGTAGAGTAGAATAGCAGAGTTGGAAAGGTCCTTGGAGGTCTTCTAGTCCAACCTCCCACTTAGACAAATGGTTATCCAACATCTTCTTAAAAACTCAGTGTTGGAGCATTTATAACTTCTGGAGGCAAGCGGTTCCACTGATTAATTGTTTTCACTGTCCGGAAATTTCTCCTTAGTTCTAGGTTGCTTCTCTCCTTGATTAGTTTCCACCCACTGCACCCATTGATGCTTAATTTAAAAAAAAAAAATCTCTTAATCCACACTTGGAATTCTCATGCAAATATCCTTTCAAGTTTACTTACTCGGATGAGATTCATATTCTTTGGTGTCCTCGTCTTTTTCTTCCTTGGACTCATCTAATTCCTTATTATACTCCATCGCGGCCTGGTTTATTTGATCTTCACTGTGTGCGTTCTGTTCGTCCACCACTGTAACACCAAATGCTACTATTAATTTAAAAAAAAAAACAGCGAGAGATTATATAGAAGAAGGAATGATTCTATATCCCCTGCACTGGCTTGTGCAATGTATTTGATTTCTACTGGAGAAAATGAAGGAGAAAGTTGTACATTTATTTATGTTTCTGTGATGCGATGATCAGATTCTCCCATTGATAACCCAACCACGGCATAATTCTAATAATGTTCCTTACTTGGAAAGAAGTACCATTAAGTTGCTAACGTGTATGCAAAGATCCCTCCTTCTATTTATTTTTATTTTTCGTTGTTTAATGAGCCCGTAATCCCTTGCGGGGAGTCGGGGCAACTGAATGGAGCTGAGTGTTTACTGGCCGGATGCTTTTCCTGTCCCCAATGCGGAGTTTTGTTCAGCAGATATTGCAAAAAAGAAGACCAATAAAATGTACAGGGGAAAAAACTCTATAATTATTTTCAACCCAAAGGGGATAAGTTGACCAAACTATTGTTAAACTATGGTTAACCTCACTACGTAGATTTCAGATGACACAGCAAGCTGTACTTACTATGTTAGGGAAGCAAACTTTCATTTGCAGATAGGCTGGAGAAGGTATACGAGGTACAGGGAGAGAAATTAGCCTTGGACTTGTCCCAAAAGTATATGTGTTTTTTTTTTTCAAAAGGCAACTGGACTTCCTTTGTTTTTCCTCAAAAACATTTCACTTCTCATCCGAGGAACTTCTTCAATTCTTCAGAAGTGCTGAAGCTTCTTCAGAATGGAAGAAGCTTCTTGAACGAGAAGCGAAATGTCTTCAAGGAAAAACAAGAGCTGCCTCTTGAAAAAGCACTTTGGGGACAACCGTGACCTGGAGGACCGAGAATCTCCGTAGACTTTTAGGCCTGTCCTTCTACCAGTCAACAAGGGTTTTTAGCTTAAGTTTCACTTTTTAAAGTCACGTTAGCCCCATCAACAAACCACGATCCCAAGCGCGGCTAGACAACTAAGTTTCCTTCACCTTTCTCCGCTTGCTCAATGATCTGTCTCAGAGCTTTCTTCAAACTGTTGGCCCGTAGCATCAGCTGCTCTCGGGATTTGAACATCTGTTGGGTCGGAGCAGCTGTGTTGTTCTCGGTCAATGGTTCTTTGGCATCCGACAAAGACTCCTCACTCGATGACTCGTCCGGTTCTTCCTCAGCGATGGGGGTCGTAGCCATGTGGGGACGGCTTGAACTAACCTGGGTTTCCGCCTGGAGAGCCTGGAGGAGAAGACTCAACTTCTCGTTCAGTTCCGAGCACTAAAAAAGATTATAAAGGAATATATAAGAAGCTGTTGACTCAGTTCTACAGAGGAATTACTGAGTCTGTCATTTGTACTTCTATAACTGTCTGGTTTGGCACAGCAGCAACTATTCTATTCTGTTTTCTATTCTATTCTATTTTCTATTATATATTCTATTCTATTCTATATTCTGTTCTATTCTATTCTAATCTATGTTCTATGTTCTATTTCTATTATATGATATATTCTGTTTTATTCTAGTCTATTATATATTCTGTACTATTCTAGTCTATTATATATTCTATTCTATTCTAGTCTAGTCTATATTCTATTTTATTTTCTACTGTATATTCTCTATTCTGTTCTATAATATTCTATTTTCTGTTCTATTCTAGTCTATATTCTATTCTATTATACTGTATATTATATATTATATATTCTATTCTATAATATTCTATATTCTGTTCTATTCTATTCTGTTCTATTCTATTCTATTCTATTTTTCATTCCAATATTCTCTTCTCTTCTCTTCTGCTCCACTTCACTCCACTTCCTATTCCTATTCTGCACTACTCTACTTCTACTCCAGTTCTTATTCTGTTTTTAAAATTTAAACTTAATTTTAAAAATAATTTTAAAAAAGGCAGACTATAATCTACCATTTCAGTGGCGAGAGATACAGGTAGTTCTCAACCTACGACCATAATGGAGCCGGCCTAGGTTGGCCATTATTTGCAATGATCATCCTGTCAGCTTTAAAATTCAGCTGTCACATTTCATGGAAGCGGGGGGTGGAGGAGTTGAAAAGCTCAAGGTTATTCTGCATGTCGTATTAAGAAATTCCAGTTGCAGTTAATTGGTTCTCATAATTTATGAAGTGTAGAAGTGAGAGAAGAGAAGGGAGGAGAGAAGGTGGATTCTGTGTAACGCGGGAAAATAATTTCATTTTGGGAAATTGCCTTTGACATGCCAGATCTGTTTCTCAATAAATCAGTTGGAGAGAAAATGTCTCGGAGTGATTGATATCATGGATACTTTCTGGATGCCTTACACATCCATACAACCATTTTCCTGACAATCATTAAGCCCCTTTTAGGTTTAAAGCTAGCCATCTTTAACCATCTTTTCCCCTCGTGGCTTCCATAATTTTTTGTTTGTTTGTAAGCCTTCTGTGTGTCCATACAAAAGAAGCAACAATGCTAGGGAAACACAAAGATAAATATGAAACACTGAATAATTTCTTCAAACAAAACCATCTCAATTCTTACTTTAATAGCCATGGCGTCCGTTTCTGCATTTTCCTCTGGTCTTTCACAAGTCTTCCCTATTTTGGCCACAAATCCTTTCACGGTTTCACACAAGATCCTTTTTTCAGGAGGAAGAAATACCAGAACAAGAAGGGAAATGGATGAGGTTACAGCATTAATTTTACATTAGGCGTTAATTTAGCTCAGCCACTTATCGTTGAAAAAAAGAAGCCACAAAGATTGTAAGTTTTCTGTTTTACAAATGAGATCACACGGACAAAATCTCTCCCTTCCTCACCTCCCTTTTTACTTATGTGATTTAAAAATCTCAATCGTAAGTAACCTCTTGCCTTACGGATGCTTCAGGAATAAAAAAGGCCAACAGAAGGTTTCATACATCAAGAAAGGTGGAAAGAGGTTTTTTTTTTCAAATTGGAAAGCAATTTTACATGCTGTGGTTGAACTTACTTGGCAGACGATATAACAACGGAGTGTTGATCCGAATCAAGGATCTTTGTCAGGTGTGTGGCAACTGAATCCTCATAGGCAGACATCTGAAAACAGGTTTTAAAAAGCTTTGGATCTTAAAATGTAGTTGCATAGTAAATATTCATTTTTCACCCAAACATATATCAATAAAAGAGATGATAGACAGATAAATGATAGATAGATAGATAGATAGATAGATAGATAGATAGATAGATAGATAGATAGATAGATATAGACAGACAGATAGTAGATAGGTAGGTAAGTAGGTAGGTATGTATACTGATTGATTGATTGATGATAGATAGTTGATAGATGAGAGATAGAGAGATAGATGAGATAGATAGATAGATAGATAGATAGATAGATAGATAGGAGAGATAGAGATAGTAGATAGCTAGGTAAGTAGGTAGGTAGGTATACTGATTGATTGATAGATGATAGAAGGATAGTTGATAGATGAGAGACAGACAGAGAGAGAGAGATGATGGAGAGAGAGAGAAGATAGAGAGATAGATAATAGAGATTAGACATAGATATGGAGATTAGAGGGAGAAACAGACAGACAGACAGACAGACAGACAGACAGACAGACAGACAGATAGACAAGAGAGAGAGTGAGGTGAGAGCGATGGTGGATATGACTTCATTTGATTGAAGCTGCTATCTTGTGGTTGCAATACAAACAATCTGCAATTTTGCAGTGGCATAGGACAGACCACAAATAAACTAAAAATAGTGGCAAGTTGTATGGATTTGTTCCAGTATGAAAAAAGTTTGAATGGCATCTTATAATAAAGCATTATATAGACCAGAATCTGTTTCATTTCCTACCAGAAAGGATTGATTGATTGATTGATTGATTGATTGATTGATTGGTGTACTGAGGATGTTACCTAGTTTGGGTAATGAAACGTCTTCAAGAAAACCAACAAGCTCAGAGAGCACCAAGGACCTCACAGTTCAAACTTGAGCTACTAATATTCTCCTTTATTGGTCTCCCATTATTAGCTGTGGGAGAAAAAAAAACTTCTCTTCCTTCAGCATTTTAGAAATTAAACACTCGCTGAAAATGCCTGCAATTATTCTTATTACAATATCAATAGATTTTTCAAACTAAATCATATGACTTCCAATTAAGAGGAGCAGTGTAAGTTTCCTAGATTTCGATAATGGTATTATTGCAAGTTCTTCTCTTAAGCATTTGCTGAAATCCTATACATAATTAACCAGGAGTGAGTACTCTGAATTCAGAAGCACTTTTATCTAAGTGTCTGTCTCTGTGTGCGTGTGTGTATTTGTGATTGTGTGCCTGTGTGTGTAGTGAGAGAAGGGAAGACGAGAGCCAGAGTATCACTCAGTTTTGAATGCAACCAAATTAGATCTTGCATAATTTAATGACATCCAAAAATTTAGATTTACCCAACAATTGTATTATCATATATGGTGGACTTTTAGAAAAGCCTAGGAATTCTGGCATAAAATTCAAAGTTGGTTAGAAGAAATTGGTGAATTTTTTTGCTGCGAATTAATACATAGAGATACAGTAAGGAACAAGTGTGTCTAATAATATATATGATCATGGCAGCAAGATTAGTTTATGCTCAAAAGTGGAAAGTTAAGGAAATTCCCGATGAAACTGAGATAATTAAAAAGATATGGACATGTGCCGAAATGGATAAAGTAACACTGGAAATAAAAAATAAGGACGAGACTGAATACTATAAAGTATGGGACAAATTTTACCAATGGTGGGGGAAAGAAGGACTTAAAATTAAAATAAGATAAGAATGTTAAGGTTGTAGATTAAAAATATGGAAAATTGCTATAATGTATAAATGCATATATTATGTACGTAAATTTGTATTATATGCGATCCACAATAGATATGTATGACAAATAGGTTTGTTAGGACAATTTCATCACATTCATTGTTTTTAATGTTTTTGTTCTATAAAATTTTTAATTTTTTTTTTTAAATTAGATTTACCCAACCATCAGATTAGATCTTATCTCATTTAATTACAACCCCAAAATTTAAATTTTACCTGACAATCTTCAGCGTCTTCTTCAGGAGTAACTGGAAGGATGCATTGCTTGGATGGCAATCTCAATTCGTATGACATGATACTCCATCTGAAAAAAATTCCAAAAATTCAAATTCACAAGCAGAATGATTCACCGAGAAGGAACGTTGATTGTGGAAAGATTTGACAATGCAAACCATATAAGCCAGGAAGGCCTTTCCTTACCTGTCTAGCATTTTGGTGCTAGCGCGTTCTAATTTTTCTAAAATTTGAGGCAGTTGTGTGTCATCGTCACAGGACCCTCCCCAACCGAGGACTCGGGCGAGGTCATTTCCCGTCCCAAGCGGTAACACTCCCAAATGACACTGGAATGAAGATTAGAATATAGATTTGTGATTTGTTTTTGGAGAGCCAGTTTGGTCTACTGGTTTAGACACCAGATTAGAAAGCAGCAGATCAGGAGTTCAAGTCTTGGCTTAGCTATCGAAGCCAGCTGGGTGACTTTGTACCAATCACCAGGAGACTGGGCATTCTAGTCCCACCTTAGATGTGAAATCCAGCTGGGTGACTTTGAGCTAGTCACTCTCTCTAAGCCCAATCCACTTCACATTATTGTTGCTGTCTTTGGGTCAAGCACCAGGAGACTGGGAGTTTCTAGTCCCACCTTAGCCATGAAAGCTAGCTGGATGAACTTGGGCCAACCATGAAGAAACTGGGACCTCTTAGTCATGCCTCAGCCATCAAAGCCAACTGAGTAACCTTAGGCCAATCACCAGGAGACTGGAAGTTCTAATCCCATTTTAGGCATGAAAGCCAGCTGGGTGACATTGGGCCAATCATGAGGAGACTGGGAGTTCTAGTCTCACCTTAGAGTTGAAAACTAGCTGGCTGACTTTGGGCCAACCATTCTCTCTCAACCCAATCCGGTTCACAAGGTTGTTGTTGGGAAAATAGGAGGAGGCAGTTGTGTTTAGATGTGTTAGGGATTCAGTTTTGCCTTCCATTATGTGTAAAAATAATAAGGATGGGATAAAAATTAAAAAAAATAAGATAAGACAAAATAAAATAAAAAATAAAATAATAAAAATAAAATAAGAAAGTAAAGGGAAGAGAAGTGACATGAAATAAATTGAAATAATAAAATAAAATAATAAAACAAAATCAATAATAAAATTACTCTGCTTAACTTTAACTACTAATAAACTATATGACCGTGATGGAGAACTTATCACAGAGCCAATTATACCAGCACACAAGCTGCAGGCAAACTTACCTCACTGTACATGTGCGCACCTCACAGATGATTTTCAGCTGGTTTGAGGCCTTTTTCGGCCTCCCAGAGGCTTTAGGAAGACTTCTGCAGGCTTCTGCAGGCTTTTCAAGCCGAAAACTAGACCCGTTTCATCACTTCCAGTTTTTTCGGAAATACCGGAAGTGATGAAACGGACCTTGTTTTCATCCTGAAAAGCCTGCAGAAGCCTTCGTAAAGCCTCTGGGAGGCCAAAAAAGAACTCAAACCAGCCGAAAATCAGCTGTAGGTGCAGTGCAGGTAAGGGGTCAGCAGGGGTGGGTGGGTGGAGATTGCGCACACATGTGTAGGGGGCATGGGGGGCACGTATTGCCTTCTGGGTGTTGGCACATCAGCAAGAGCATGCAAGCGCACACACAATTTTTGGCACAGGAGTCCAAAAATGTTAACCACCACTGCTCTATGACAATGTTTAATTATAATCGCGGTATATTCTTCTTCTTTCATTTTTTTTAAAAACGAAACTCACTTTACTTCTCTTGAGGATTAAAAGAAAAAGGACCACTTGCCTGTTTGTGTAGGTTGAGTTTATCAATTTCAGACAACACCCAGCCGACACTCCCATCTCCCCCGCACACCAGGATTCGAAAATTGTCAAACTTCTGAAATAACCGTAAACTGGGGAAAAGAAGGCAATTGTCTGTATTCAGCGAGAGAATCTCATCACCATGAAAAAAATCAACTAGATTTGGAACAAAGTGTTGGAGAAATTTCCAGGGAGAAAAAAAAACGTGGCTTTAAAATAATATTATAATAGTTCTGAGCACGGAAACGGATATATTACAGGTAAACCTCAACTTACAACAACTGAGCCCAAAATTTATGTCGTTAAGTGTTAAGGGAGTTTTGCCCCATTTTACGACTTTTCTTTCCACCGTTGTTAAGTGAATCGCTGATGTTGTTCAATTAGTCACCCGGTCATTAAGTGAATCCGGCTTCCCCGTAGGCTTTGCCTGTCAGAAGGTCGCAAAAGGGGAATCACGTGACCTTGGGATACAGCAACCGTTTTAAGTATGAGTCCATTCCCCAGCATCCAAATGTAAATTACGTGGGTGATGACCCAAAGGGGCGTGGCACAAAGGCAACCCAGTCAGGTAATCAGTAGGAGTCCTTTTATTAACTCCAACTTTGCCCCCAATGTCCTGGTTACCTTCTGGGCTGGAGAAAAACTCTCCCAGGTAAACAGCCTTTGGCTGCAGAGAATCAAGTCCAAAACATGGTCAACAAAAAATGTAACTATAAGTCCAATTAAGGCAGGATGAGGTAATTAGTCCGGCAGGGCAGGAGGAGGAATTCCAGGAATGAAGGCATGGCAATAACTCAACACGATTGGGAAGATGCCAGGGACACAGATAACCAAAGTCAACATAAGACAAACTCACGTTTGTTCCCAGCAGCTGCCGCACTCAGCTTGCATCTCTCTTAAACTCTCATTCCCAGCTGTGGCTAATGAAGGGAATCAGGGCCCTTTCCTCACCCATAAGCCACGCAACCCACATTGCTCCCTTTTCCATTCCTCCCTGAGTGCCCTTGGATGAAGAAGGGGTGGGCCTGGGTCTTCCTCTGAATTCCCTCTCCCTTGCTCTACCTCTTCCCTGCTCTGCCCAGCTGGACTTTGTCCTTCCCCAGTTTCCTCCATGACAACAGGACCCTGAGGCTGTTGTAACGGTCATAAGCATGAAAAAGGGTCATAAATCCATTTTTCCACTATGGCTGTAATTTTGGTCACTAAATGAACTGCTGTAAGTTGAGGACTAACTCTATTAGGCAGAAGATTTACAACGCTATTCAAAAATGTGACTTATGACCATTTTTTTTCACAATTATGAATTTTAAAATGGAGGCTCCCTGGAGTATGACGTACAGTATTTCCTTTCCTTTTTGGAAAGGAAAATAAATATGAATTGTTCGCCACTGGAGGAGAATCTAGAGCAGTTTTGTATTCTATTTTGTTTTGTTTATCTTTTGTTTGTTTGTTTTTGTTGTATTGTTTTGTTTTTCAAACCTGGCAACTTGCATATGCGGGGACTTCAACTCCCAGAATTCCCCAGCCAGCAGCAGGAGGAATTCTGGGAGTTGAAGTCCACATTTCATTAAGTCGCCAAGGTTCGGGAATCAACAATCAAGGATATAGGGAATCTGCGTCTCTGGAATAATCCCAAAATGCATTTCTGCTCACCCGCTTTCATTCCTTTCCCAAATAAACCCGGATAGAAAGTTACCCTAAATGGGGTCCCCCGTTCATTAAATCGAAAACCTGAGCTGGGTTGAGCGACTGTTTGAAGCGCCGAAGAAATTTCACACCCTGATTGTCTCCACTCTTCGAATTCACAAAAACCAAGAGAGGACTGGCGCAGGTGGGCGGACAGGTGGCTTTCCAGAAACCTGCACGAAAAATCAGTAATAAAACACTATCAACCAATCTAGAATCTTTCCTAGTTCCAGCACAGTTAATCCCAATTACAATCCAGAGGTTAATTCCTGAAATTTGGACACAATTTTGAAGAGAGGATTAATGACTGTTCATTCAGAGAACAGAAGTTGGAAGGGGCCTTGGAGGTCTTCTATTCCAACCCCCTGCTCAAGCAGGAGACCTTATACCAGTGATGGTGAACCTTTTTGCTGTGGTGTGCCAAAAGGACGCATGCAACACCCATGCCCCAACCCTGTACCTGCACTACGCATGCGTGCGCCTCCCAGCTGATTTTTGGCCCGTTTGAGGCCATTTTTGCCCTCCCAGAGGCTTGAGGGAATCCTCTGCAGCCTCCAGAAGCTGACCATCACCACCACCCTACATTCCTTTCTTTCATTAAATGAGACATACCCAATTCCAGCAACCGTTCTTCCTGTGTTATAACTCCAGTCCCTTAATCATCTTTGTTGCTCTTCTCTGCACTTTTTCCAGTCTCAACGTCTTTTTTAACATCATGGCAACCAAAACTGGATGCAGTACTCTAGGTGTGGCCTTACCAAGATACTATAAAATGATATTAAAACTCTTTTCTTTTCCATTAATGAAGGCCAATATGTTTTAGAACATAGAAAATTCATCTCTGTGTTTGAATTTACGGCAATCTGCCAGGCCTCCACAAATGGAAACCTAATTAGAAGCATGAATCTGAGCGTTTCATATCTTAAGTGTCATTAATTCTCTTTATTTTAATTTATATGGACTTCGGCAAGAAACTACCTTCATATCCACATTCTGCTTGAATTGTGTGATGACCCGAGGCATGGCACAAAGGTAACACAGTCATGTAAGTAAGAAGAGTCCCTTTAATACCTCCAACTTTGCCCCCAATCCCAGGTTACTTTTAGCTGGAGAAAAAAATTATCCCGAAAACAGTCTTTAAATGGAGGAAATTCAGTCCGAAAACAAAGTACATACAAACTGTAAATAAAAATCCATACAAAGCACACTTGACAGGGGCAGGAGAAGGAATTGACAGGGGCAGGAGAAGGAATTGCAAACTTGAAAAGCCAGCAAAACACACACAGTTGGGAAGATGCCAGGACCCCAGATAAGCCTTGACAAACACCAGATAACTCACAATTTGCTCTCAACCATTTGCTGTGCGCAACCTCCCTTTTTAAACACTGTGTTCCCAGCTGCAGCTAATGAAGGGAATCAGGGCCCTTTCCTCCCCCATAAGCCATGCAACTCACATTGCTCCTTTCTCCATTCCTCCCTGCATGCCCGAGGATGAAGAGCGGGTGGGCTTGGATCTTCCTCTGAATTCCCTCTGCCTTGCTCTACCTCTCCCCTGCTCTGCCCAGCCGGACTTTGCCCTTCCCCAGTTTCTTCCATAGCCAACAGAGCCACACTCCCACTCCCTGTCAGCTGCTCAATCTCCCCCTTGGAATCAGATTCCGACAGGGGCATGACAAATTGCCTCCCTCTCCCATCGAAGCTTTTCTGGCGTTTTTGCAAACTGTCCTGCACCGCTATCCACATCATATATTGTGTGCAATCCCTGTGCATAAATCATACATGTGAAACACAATCGTACATCTGCCATATCAATATACATACCATCCGAATCTATGCTGTTCAGCGCTGTGGGCGGAATAATTGAGACTTTGCACTGGCCAAGGGGACACTTTCGCGGATACGAGTCTCGGCACGCCGTATGTACCTGGAAATGGTTTTATAAAATGGAGGAGCCGTGGATTATTAAAACATTTACGAAATGGAGTTTGACTTTAGGGCGAAAATGCAAATCTGAATACAGAACATCCTTGACTTATGACCCGAATTGAGCACAATATTTCTGTCACAAAGTGAGACATGTCTTCAGTGAGTTTTGCTCCCATTTTCGCTGCCGTGGTTGACTGAATCACTGCAGTTGTTAAGTTAGCTACACCCAGGAGTGGGATTCAAAAATCCCAACAACCAGTTCTCTGCCCGGTTGCTGGGCGGGTGTGGCCATGGTGGGCATGGCCTACTGGAACTTCCAGGAGGGCCATTTTTTGTCTTCCCCAGAGTCCAAAGGCTTCCCTCGGGCTTTTGGTTGGGCAAAAACAACCTCCCCCGGGCTCCGAAGGCCCTCCGGAAGCCAGAAACAGACCCGTTTCCTGACTTCCAGAACTTCTGGAACGGCCATTTTTCGCTCTCCCAGAACCTTCACGTGGATCCTGCACTTACCTGTATCCAAAATGGGCCACGTGGAGACTCCTCGGAGGGGCAGAGCCAGCCGGTCAGTTCATCTACCTGGTTCGGCGAACCAGATATAAATTTAACATCCAGTTCGCCTGAACCGGCCTGAACTGGCTGAATCCAACTCTTGGCTACACCATAGTGAAGTGACTTCCCCTTTGACTGTGCTTCTCCAAAGTTTGCAAAAGGGGATCACGTGACCCTCAGGTGATGCTGCAACCATAATAAATGTGAACCAACTGCCAAGCAACAGAATTCTGATAACGTGAGCAGGCTCTATTGTGGTTGTTAGGAATGATAGTCACCTAACAGTTGGGTTGGCAATATATAAACCAGGTTAGTAATTTAATACTGCATCTTTAAGAGAATGCTGCAATTGTGATTGGCTGAGGTTCCTCCAACGGCCATAAGATGGAGCCAGAAACCTGGCTTCTCTCTCCTTGTATTTCCTGTTTTGCCGTATTGCCTGATCGTCGTTCTACTCGGATTGCTGTGAGTTTTGCAACTGTTAGCAAACTCCGTTTCCTGAATTCTGTTAATAATACTTGACTTGGTTTTTGGATTATCCCTGGACTGATATTAACTGCTTTAACCATGTATGATTTGGACTGTTTGTTGGAGTTTGTTTTACTCATTTACTGGAAGTAAAACCTACATTTTACTATTCAGTGTATCTGAATGCTGGTTGTGTGTTATTCAACACCACTCTCACTACGTTTCCCTGAGTGCACTCATTCTCCTAACGGGGAATACCTTACCTGCCCACCCAGGCTTCCATACTCACCTTTATCCTGTGAATTTGAAGTGCAGCTGCTTTGCATGGCACACAGAGTGCCGCGCGGCAATTGCTGAAGCAACCAGGACCCTGCAGGCTTGCAGGAGGTGAGTTAGAACACCCACTGAACCGGTGGTAAAAATATTTCAATCCCATGACTGATTAAGTGAGGATTTAGGTGTATTTCCAGAGACAGTCTCATCTGACAGTCTCTGTAAGAGCAAAGGGTCCTTCACAGAGATGTAGAACAGCTGTTTTCAAACCGAAAGAGCTATTTTCTACATTTTTCTATGATAAAAATATGGTTGTTGTTTTTTTTTCATTCCAGGCCGATCTGGGTGTTCCACACCTGTCAGATGGAGTTTCTCTGGGGCTGGGAGGATTCTTTCCATGACCCCCCCTCTCCCCCAAAACACAGCCACGCTTCCTGTCTCCAAAGTTGCCTAATTCAAACTCTGCCCCCAGAGAAGACTCTGGGCAGGTGCAAAAGCCCTCTGTGAAGCTGAGCAGACCACACAAAGAAGGGTTCGCCCCTTGTTGTTGTTAGTTGCGAAGTCGTGTCCGACCCATCGCGACCCAATGGACAGTGTTCCTCCAGGCCTTCCTGTCCTCCATCACCTTCTGGAGTCCATTGAAGCTCAGGCCTACTTTAGAAAACACTTTATATTTTGCTTTGGGGGGAAAAAACAAATCTGTAATAAAAACCAGATCAACCCCAAATATGGAATCTTATCTTTGCTACTTGGCAAAATTCCGAGCAAGGGGTCAGACATTCCAGCTCCCTCCTTAAATTCATTCAATGATTGTTCCTAATTTCTTCGTGAACAGCTCTTAGATGTTAGTCCTTGACTCATAACAATTTGTTTAGTGATCGCTCGCAGTTACAACAGCACTGAAAAAAAAAGGGGTCTAGGACCATTTTTCACACTTGTAACGATCACTGCAGTGCCCCGTTTTGGTTCCCAGGTAAGTGCAGGGAGTGTCATGCCCTTGTTAGAGTCAGACTCTGAGGGAGGGGAGGAACAGGCAACAGGGAGTAGAAGTGTGGCTCTGGAGGTTGTGGAGGAGGCTGGGGAAGGGCAGAGGCCGGCTGGGCAGTCAGAGGAAGAACCAGGCCTATCCCCTCTGCTTCCTAGGACATGCAGGGAGGAATGGAGAAGGAAACAACCTGGCTTATGAGAGAGGAAGTGGCCATGATCCCCCTCATTGGTTGCAGCTGGGGAGACTAGTATATAAGAGAGACGATTACAACACAACATGGCCAGAAGCAAAGTGTGTGTTATTCTGGGCTGAAGTTATCTTGGTTGGTTACCTTGGTTGGTGGACATGTGTACAAGTAAAAAAATACATATATGATTGGAAAAGATGATACAACAGCATATTGACTTAAAACCTGAAATACTCCTGTTGGGGATCTTACCCAAAACTTACAGTAAAGAGAAAGTATATTTGATTATTCGTGTATTAACTGCAGCTGGAATTGTATTTGCTCAAAATTGGAAAAGCGAAGAGATTCCTACTGATGAAAATGTGATTAGAAAAATATTGGAATGTGCCGAAATGAATAGATTAACCCTTGCAGGAGTGAATATTATAAGGTATGGGAACTATTTTAGTGATGGCTAGAGAAAAAATCTGAAAGCTAGAACTAGCTAATAGACTAGTGAAATATAGGTTTATAGAATTAAACATGTTAGGAAGAGGAGTGTTATAGTAATAGAGATATTGTGTATATTAATAAGAGAAGAATAAGAATGGAGAATTAATACCAAAGTAATGAACATGGTAGTAAATTTTAATTGATATTGCACAAGATTTTTGTATCCAGACAACACACCAATAAATGGAAGATGAATTGTATGTACTTTAAATAAAATTTTAAAAAATTACAAAAAAACATTCTTGCTAAGTTTATATATTTTGACTTATCGTAGAAGTATAAAAGACAATATATATGTAAAGCCAATTTTAACGTACCAATCAAAACTTAAATCTTAAAAAAAAAAATCCATTAGCAATTAGAAATGCACTGTTTGCCCATAATTCAATAAATGCGTATAGGAGACAGCTACTTATCTTGTCTATTTTTGATGTTCCAAAAGTAATAAAAGGATACAAAGTAGAAAACAGAAGTCATGTTAAAAACAAATTTTAGGTTGCAGATCCATTTGTTTAGACTTCAGTGCCTGATTGCTTTTAATTAGGTAAGCTGTTTGGTCTGATACCAGGGAGAAAAACATGCTTAAAAATGATAAATCAAGCCAATATGGAATCAAATCAAATTAAATTAAATTAGATTAAAGTAATTGGGTTAATGGGGAGGAATGGCACAGAAACTTAAAAGGAAATCAGACAGCTGACAGGCTACGAAGCAACAGCTCTGGCAAACAGCTCACCTCCAAGTTCTAAATAAACAGTTTATTATAACATCTAAAGGTTCAGCCAGGGTTTCTTTTGCCATTTTCTTTATTAAAAGCATTTAATAAACAGTTCTTCAAAAAAAAAACACAGGAAAACAGCTGAGGGATTAACCATATAAGAGCCAGTTGAAATATTTCTATTGGGGATTCTACCCAAAGAATACAGTTTAAGGAAAATGCATATTTAGTTATTCATATATTGACTGCGGCCAGAATTGTATTTGCACAAAATTGGAAGAATGAAGAGATACCTACAGAAGAGGGTGTGATTAGGAAAATATTAGGATGTGCGGAAATGAATAGATTATCACTGACAATTAAGGAGAAAGAGCCAACTGAATACTATATGGCCATGATGGCGAACCTATGGCATTTGTGCTGGCAGGCGAGCCGCAGGCAAACTTATCTGACTGTGCATGCGCGCACCTCACAGCTGATTTTCGGCCTCCCAGAGGCTTGAGGAAAGCTTTTGCAGGCCGAAAAATAGGCCCATTTCGTCACTTCCTGTATTTCTGGAAATACCAGAAGTGATGAAATAGGCCCATTTTTCAGCCTGCAAGGGCTTCCTCAAACCTCTGGGAGGCCGAAAAAGGCCTCAAACAGGCTGAAAATCAGCCGGGGGGCACGGTGCAGGTAAGGGGGCGGCAGGGGGGGATCTCACAATTTTTGGCACAGGAGCCCAAAAAGATTAGCCACCATTGCTATACGGTATGGGATTTATTCTATCAATGGTTAAATAATAAAAAA